CTTAAAATTACATTCATCTATTCCTTCCATTATGGAAATTCCATGCTAATTAATCTGTGATTAAACTCTTAACTTCTCTCTAGGAATAATTCTTATTTGAAAGCCTAAAAGTTGCTTTTAAAATACTACTAGAAGTGAGAAACATTAAATTAACTATTAAACTTTTTTATTTTACTCTACTAATTATGAAAATACCCTAAACTATAACCATGTCAGTCTTTAATAGAAAAAGGCTTCTTTTTCATTTCTTCACTGGTCTGACCTCCCTTCTGACCCCCTAGACCACCCAAAAAACATCTATGAAAATCTAACCCCATGAAATTCCTTGACTGTCCTTTTGTGGATGTAATTTTGTCTTCCTCTAAATTCCCAGAGCATTTTGCTTACACTAATCAAACATACAGCCACTTGCAATATAGTTATTTCTGAATATACCTTATCTCACTCCAAAGCGCCTTATAATTAGTTGGCAATCAAAGATAGGGTATGAATGAATGGATGGATGACAATGGATGAAAAAAAGCAAACCCTATAAAAGCAGCACTTTACAGCAGCAGGCCTGCAATTCTTTCCAGGTGGGTCATGAGATGGAAAAGGATGCCCCACCCATGATAAATTTGACTTGGAATTCTCCCCCGAGAGATCATATTGGTCATTCTGTCAGGTTTTTTGGGTTTGAAAAAAGGAAAAAAGGAAAACTACTTTGTCTCTGAAACTCAGAGATCTCTCCATTCTGTTTTACAATCATCCAGTATGCTAGTGCTTTAGCTCATGTGGAAGTGGTGAAGCCATGGGTTTCTCTTAAATAGCTTCCCTGTGTGTGTGTGTGTGTGTGGTTTTTTAAAGACAAGGTCTGCTCTGTCATCCAGGCTGGAGTGTAGTGGTGTGATCATACCTCACTGTAACTTCAAACTCCTGGGCTTGGGCAATCCTCCCACCTCAGCCTCCCATGTAACTAGGACTATAAGCACATGCCACCACACCCAGCTAATTTTTAGAAAAAAATTTTTGTAGAGACAGGGTATCACTATGTTGCTCAGTCTGGTCTCAAACTCATGGCCTCAAGTGATCCTCCCACCTGGGCCTCCCAAAGTGCTAGGATTACAGATGTGAGGCACCATGCCTGGCCCATATGTCATTTTAACATACACACCCAATATTTACTATACTCCTTAAGTGGAGAAGCCAGGAATTGGAAGGTTAGAGGGTAATAAGACAGTGTGGACACGGAGTAGAGAGCTACTGCTTCTTTCATATTCCATCTGATGTTACTTTAACTACTTATTGTTAAAAGAAAAACTGCACAAGTTCTCCTGCCTACCCCCTGATTTTGCTATGTGTAATTTGCCTAAAATATTTATGAATCGTATTAAAGAACTGAAATCCCAGAAGCTTAACATGTATCCCTCATTATCGCAGGTCTGGAAAAATAATGAAAAATCTCCTATCACAGCATTTTGTAAGACTTTTAACATCAAAATGAGGGAGAAAAAAAGAAAACATACAAAAAAACTCCTTTTTCTCTTCAAAGGAAAAGAGCTTAAACTAAAACCCTTCGGTGCAACCTTCATTATTTAGTAATAGAAACTTTGTGGTCCTTTCATCTTTTCCACAATCAATAATAAAGTGTAAATATTTGACGTTCAAGTACAATTTTAAGAATACATTATATTAACCTCACTAGTAAAATAAAGTTATCCATACTTCAGTTTCTTTGTGCTGAACAGTCCCGTGATTTGGTTCCCAAAATATAGTAGAGGTAGTGGAAACGTCTAGAAAATTTAAAAAGGGATAACAATACTCAATAATAAAGACAGCTAAAACAAGGTCCTTTCAAACAGTAACAGTTTTGTTTATATGATCAAATTCTTTCCACTTAAAACATAAGATTAGTTCTCTTACACGATTTGACCCCATGAAACACCCAAACACCACTAATCTTGGATAAACAGCATTAGTATGTCAGAAGGAGACAAAGTGGGAAAGGAGAGAAAGGAGAGAAAGACAGGGAAAGAAAAGAAACAGAAATATGAATATGAGCAATGCGGGACAGAAACATCATTTGCTTTAAGATATGAAATGTATTAGCCCAAGGCTCTAATGTCAGCAGAAAAAAGAAAGGCATTTTATCTTCATGTAGAATCAAGCAAAGGCAGAAAGAATATGAAATGAAGCCCAGAATAAAGAATGCAGGATACACTGGCTAGATTTGATGGACACATAAACTGCAAAACTGTTATACTCCCAATAAGTGTGTATTAATTAAAATAGAAGATTCCTAGGTTGTTTCTTTCCCTTAATTTTAAAGAGATTGTAGGGCTTCTTTAGCACATTACTACATTTATTCTTCACCTTCATTATATCCACTCTGGATTGGGTACTGCAATTTTTAAATATGCAAGACACTAATAAAACATACAGTGACTTCATTTCATAAAATAAAGTATTACTTTTTTTTTCTTTTACCTTTCGAGGTACATTTCTGTCAAAGTCAGGAAACTTGACTACTCTGAGTGCCTTTCCCACCCAGAGAACTGCCACTGTGGCCACCATCTGTAAACAGAGAACACAGATTCACTGTTCTACGTACAAAGACACACACAGAAGTTCTAACAACATAAACCACGTAATGCTGAGGATTCCAACTAACCTGGCCAAGTCCAACACATAGTGAGGAGGGAAATCTACAAAAAGGGCAAAGAAAAAAAAAAAAAGGTCAGAAAAACCTAAACGTAGTTCCGTTGAATTCAACTTGTACATCGGCAACCTTTTTAAATGTATTTTGATACAAGCCACACTAACATCTGCCCTTTATCCAAGTAAAAATCTTGTGAGAAAAATCCCTGCCCGTTGTCAGGCCACACTGCTGATTCTGTAGCCTCTGGCAGCCACTTGCCTCATCCTGTCCCATGCTACAATTTCAATCGGCTGCCTGCAACGGATTTTGCAAGGAAGTTAAGGTAGATCTCTACAACGGTTTCACACCTTTAAAAACAACAACAACTTCTGCCTCAGAGTCCCAGCGACAGCAAGAGAATAATCGTAAATGGGTGTGAGGATATGCACGTCCCCAGAGGCTGTCAGCGGATGCAGGAGACACTGAAGCCCCGGACCCCGGTCCAGGCTGCGGAGGACAGAGGGCATCTCTCGCTCTCCTCCCTGCTTGGCATGCACAGGGGCTCTAAAGTCACCAAGCAACTTTGCTCCATCGCTCCAAACGCTCTAAAACGCAGGGTTTTCAGGGCGCTGCACCGAAGGCACCGCAGGCGCCGCCCCGAACGCGCCGGGCCGGACTGAGCGCCGCGCGGAGAGCGGACCCCAGCCCCAGGCCAGGGCGCCAAGCCTGCTCGGCCGCACGGGCCGCGCGCGTCAGCCTCCCGCCCTCCCCAGCGCCCGCCCAACTTTGTTCAGTTTCAACTTCGCCAGCCAAAGTCCAGGGAGCCGCCGCCCGCTCCTCCTCCGCGGCCTCGGCCGCCGCCGCCTCGGCCCTACCTGTAATTGGTGAGCACGCTCTTGTTCACCACCACGATCAGGAAGGAGCTCACGCCGTAAAAGCCGGCAGCCAGCAGCTTCAGGAACACGGTCAGCGTTTCGGCCGACGCCATCCCCAGCTCCTCCTCATCTCTGTGTGTGGAGGATTTCGCGGGGGCTTCTCCTTTAACCCGAGCATGCTGACGTCTATGAACTTCCGCCATGGCTGCGGCAGCGGCGCGGGCCTGTGAGCGGAGCGGCGGGCGGGCCTGGCTGCGGGGCCGAGTGGCGCGGGGGCCTGCAGTCACTGCAGCGGCTCCCAGAGGACTCGCGGGATCGGGGTCTGCGGACTGGGCCAGCTGCGCGCTCGCGGCCTCGGCTCCCCGCAGAGCCGCCGCCCGTCCCCGCCCAGGGGCAGGGACGCCGGGGTTCACACCCTTGGAGACTTTGCTCGGGCATTGTGCAACTCTGGGTCAGAGGGCAGGGACCGCGCCGGGCTTGGCCTGGGCAGGGGTTGGTGAGGGCCTGGAGAAGGGGCAGCAGCAAGCCTGAGCCCGGGGCCGCGAGGGAGAAGCGGGGGTAACCATTCGGGGGCACCAGAGCGTCGGGCGGCAAACCACAGACGCCGAGCGACGCGGTGGGCTTGCGCCTGCGCACGAGCACGCGCTGGGTCTCTCCGCGGAGTTCGCACCTGGAGCGGGGGAGACTGGTGGAGCAGCTGGGGGCTGGACGGCCGTATTCTCCAGATAACTGCCGCCATAAAAGTGCAGACTCTCCTCCCCCCTATAACAGGTGGCTGGCCGAGTCGTTACGGTATGTTGCATCTAGACTCATTTTGAATGCTCTTTTGGTCTCTCTTGCAGAAGGTCAAACAAAGCCCTTCAAAGGTATTAAATGTGGATCAACAGTAAACACTCAACAAACATTTCATTCGACATGCCTCAGGCTTCTTACACTTTCTGAAGCAATACTTTCTTTGCAGATCATGGAGGAAGTTTTTAAGAAAAATGTTGACATATCCAAAAAAGTAGCAAGATAATTAAGCACTTTGAAGTTTGGTGAAGTGCAAGGTGTTTGGAGCCTAAAAGACTTGACGTCCAATTCTAGGATTACTAGAAATGCACTACCTCCCTAACCCCCTAACCCCCTCACCACCAGCATTCCCCCAAGCTGTGTGCTCTTGGGGCCAATTAGGTGACCTCTCTCCGAACCTGCATATCCCATCTCTAAGGATGTAAAGCTAGGATAGAACTAGTTTTCAGTAGATGGTAGCCATTATTATATAACAGAAGCAAATCATTATCAGTTTAAGCAAAGAAATTACATATCTAATTTTAATGGATTAGGAAAGAAGAACATTGAATTATTTCTCTAAATGCTTGGTCTACATCATTTTTTTTCTTTTTTTATTTTTAAATTGTAAAAATATACATAACAAAGTTAATCGTTGTAACACTCGCTCCCCTTTATTTTGAGACAGGGTCTTGCCCTCGCTCAGGCTAGACTACAGTGGCACAATCATAACTCACTGCAACTTCAAACTCCTGGGCTCAAGTGATCCTCCCAGCTCAGCCTACCGAGTGGCTGGGACTACAGGCGCACAGCGCACACCACCACGCCTTGCTAATTTTTAATTTTTTGTAGAGACAGGTCTTGCTCTGTTGCCCAGCATAGTTTAGATGTTTATGTTGAATGAATCAATAAATGGTGAAACTAATAACAAGGAAAATGACCAAATTTCTTCCTTGACCGCTAGGAGCAGAAGAAAAATAATAAGAAACATCCCCGTGGAAAAAACATTATAAAAGTAACGATGTCCCCATAACGAAAACAAATATATATATATGTACATACATACACATATATTTTTATTCATTTTTAAACATATCCACAATAGAAGCAGGAAAGAACGTTGATCTTCAAGCCAGATGATGCCTCTGACACTAACTTTGTGACCTTGGGCAAATTACTGGGCATTATTGTGCTTCAGTTTCCCCCTCTGTAAAATGGGGTTAATAATAGTACCCACCTCATAAGGTTGTGGTGAGAATTAAATTATAAATTAAATTTATAATAAATATAAAGTGATTAGACCATAGTAAATACTTTACAAGTATTCATTATAATTACCATTATTATTATTATTATACAACCTTTATCACTTCACTTACTATTCCTTGAAGGTCTTTCTGTGGCAGCACATAAACTCTACCTCATTCTTTTCTAAGGCTGAAGAGTACTCCATTAGTTAGCTGCATCATAATTCATGTAACCTTTCTTATGGACATTTAGGTTATTATCAGTTTTTCAGTTTATGAAAACAATCTTTGTCCATTCAACTTTGTACAAGTATAAGTTTCTAGAAGTGGAATTGTTTAGTTAAAGGCTACTTTTTAAAAAAATTAGTAGAATTAGAAAATTGATCTCCAAAGAGGTTGTACCAACTATATATTCCCACTAACACTGTAGGAAAATGAAACCCTCTTTTATAAAGTTGGGGAACACTGAAAGAGATCAAGTTCTACCCTGTGGAGGTATGAAGTGCCAGATACAAGTTGATGCAATAAATCAATTGCAATTACACAAAATGAAAATAAATTTAAGAGTACTGATCCAGGCAACTACTATTGTTTTTCTCAGCATGATTACATTATTTATTAACAAATATTGAAGACCTACCACAGGCCACAAACTCTGTTGGATTTTCTGAACACCCATAATGGTTTGGATGCTGTGGACCTTTAGTAAAATGCTATGGAGTTAAGTGGGGTGCAGTGGCTCACGCCTGTAATCCTGGCACTCTGGGGGGCTGAGGCAGGAGGATCCCTTGAGCTCAGGGATTCTGGACCAGCCTGAGCCAGAGCAAGACCCCATCTCTACTAAAAATAGAAAGAAATTAGCCAAACAACTAAAAACATATAGAAAAAATTAGCTGGGCATGGTGACACACACCTGTAGTCCCAGCTACTCAGAAGGCTGAGGCAGGAGGACTGCTTGAGCGCAGGAGTTGAGGCTGCAGTGAACTATGATCATGCCACTGAATTCTAGTCCGGGCAACAGAGCAAGGCAAAAATTTGCTGTAACCTGGAGGCAAGACTGTGATTCTATACTGCTAGCCCTGACATGTAAGAAGCAAACTGCTTTTAGTTGGTCCTTATAAACTAATACAGAGAAAAAAGCATTTGCCATGTCAATGGCTGCATTCTAGGTGTCAGGAGCTGTCATGTTGATTTCCCCCATAAAAATACTATATGTGGAACTTCAACTACAGTTGAGGTCACCTCCTGATTAAGTTTATAATCACACTCAGTTGGTGCCAAGATCTGCCTTCTGCATTGGACAAACAGGCAACTAAAATGGGGATTGATAGGATTCATGCATCTTGTATGAATTATGACACTAATCTCTGCAAATTCCTAAAGATGTGATATTTATGTTTGTTTATTGTCCTAGTAGGAAAGGGAAATTCCAGAGGCTTCCTCTTTCTACCATCATGGTCCATATTCCATGGGTCAGGAACCAATGTGAGGATTTCATCAGTTGCCAAGTGTATCTATTATGCCTAAACACGTCTCTTCCAATTATACACTCAAAAACTGGAGAAAAGGCCGGGTGCGGTGGCTCACGCCTGTAATCCTAGCACTCCAGGAGGCTGAGGCGGCTGGATCTCTCAAGGTCAGGAGTTCGAAACCAGCCTGAGCAAGAACGAGACCCCTTCTCTACTAAAAAATAAAAAGAAATGATCTGGACAACTCAAAATATATATATATAGAAAAAATTAGCC